TTCCCATAAAATAACGAGAAATTGGATTTTCTCAAAATTGGCCCGAACAATGTTGATACAAATTTACTAATTTAGTATGTTATATTCCTTTAAATTCTGAACAAAATGGTACAGATCCCATTTCCACAAAAATTATGGTTTCAAAATTATTGTAACTCATGTTATTTTCCCATAAAATAACAAAAAATCAGATTTTAGAAAAAAAATAGTTTTGATTAAAATTAATGTGTTATGGTCCTTAGAATTCTAAACAAAATAGTGCAACCCCCCCATTGCTGTAGCAATCACGGTTAAAAAGTTATTGCAACTTTTATGATTTTAACCTATAAAATATCATAGTTACTCCCACCGCTTGCCCACGATAAAGGTTGTTGACAAGGGAGAAAGTATGTGTCAGATTGCTGATACCGTTTATTAATATTGTGTAAATTTCTGCAAACTAAAATCACAGAGCCCACCTCACAAATGGCAGTACGAGTACAGTACAACGAATGACTACACTCATCTGCAGACAAAGTACCAAAGATATGTTGCACATGCTCCAATGCGAATCATGTGTTACATTGTGGATGGCCCTCTTAACACATTCTCTACGGATATAAAAATTCTTTCACCACAGACCAGCGTCAACTATGGTTGAAGTTTTTAAGGGTTATTTATATTACGATTTATATAACAGTCTTGGTTGTTAGTTGTAGGTCTAATGGAATAGCCCCTAAATATGCTGTTGCCATGGTTTCCTTCCTTATAGGTGATTTTTTTCCATACAACTAACAGCATTTCTTTTTTAGATATAAATATCTAGAGGTCTTGATTCCTTAGTTGACTCAGCCCTCTTCAAGTGCTTTGGCGTGTGTTTGTTTATTATAACATTTTTTGTGTTTTATGTCATGGATAAAGATTGACATACTTCTAATGGATAACGACATCAAAACAGAACGAAATAAGTGATGGATTGATGTCAACTATACTTGTCATAAAACTTATAAAAACAAAATACATGATTGAATTTATTATTGCAAATTTAATGTAAATAAATATTATTTAGACCCTAATTGATCAGAAAAACTAATTGAAAAAAACTGGTCTGTGGGTACGTTTAGTTCGATAAGCTTGGTCCAAAAGGGAAATATGACCTGCAAGTTAGAAAAAGGACTTGGGAAAGTCTGACGTCAAATATTGTTGTCAAATATTGTCAAACTTTCATTGTTTTATTAAAACAGTTCTTGTTTTGTCCATCAGATGCACAGTTCAGGCGGAATTCAATGTTTTATAACAGATGCTAGACCATAAATTACAACGTCATGTTAGCCGATAAGTTAGTATAAGCAAACGGGTTACACTACTGGATCAAGTAGCCAGTCATATTTCTCTACATCTGATGTATTGTTACATTGTGGTTTTTTGTGGGAAATAAACTTCATTATTCATTTATTCATATCGGTGATGGGTAGTGAATGTGAATAATTATTTTAAAACTGAAATAAATCAAACTGGTATTATGTTTTTTGTGTAAAAACTAATAAGAAACGGATGACAAACATAGATACTTGGTAGGGTTGGTCGGATCACAAAATTTCAGCAAATTTTATGTGAAAAAATGTATATATGTGTTATTCTTAGTTTGTTGGCTACTCATCACTAAATTAGAACTAAACACAATTTAATTAAACAATTTGGAGGTATATTTTGAGTTTTCATCAAAACCCATCTTCAGCTCAAAGATGGGTTTTGATTAAAACTCGAAATATTCCTCCACATTCTTTAAGTAAATTGTGAATAATTTTAATTTAGTGATGAGTAGCCAACAAACTAAGAATAACATTGAAAATGCCATCACGAAAAAAACATACCGGAATGAATTAATATATATATATTTATATATTAGTGCTGGCATTACATTTGATTTGGGATTCTATTGGGACTGGATTCGTTCCCACTGGCAAATGTGGTTATGATGTCTTGGGAAACTATAATATATCCAGTGCCAATAAAATCCCAAATCATTTTTGTTCACCCATTGTTGGTTATTACTTAAAGAACTTTGCTACAAAGACTAGGAGAATTGATTCTGTTTATCATCATTATTGCCATCTGCAATGATTTTCACTCAAGATAAAAAAAAACAAGAGGCTAAGTTTCCCGTGGGAAGAAAATCCCGTCCCAAAAATGAGGAAACAAAGAAACATTTTGTCTTGTCCCAATTTAATGATACAATACCATCCATCCTTAGATAGCATTGATTTGTATGTGTGCTGTGTGATTTGGGTTTATTCTTATTTAGAATTTGTTTTCAATTCTTAATGTAAGTGAAAACACCTTCTTAAATAAGTTTAAAATGAGCGATTCCAAATAAAATGTGGTGCCCTGGATGTGATTAACCTTTCAAAATATTAGCCATATATTTTGGCAAATTAAAGTCAAAATTAAAGGCAAAATATTAGCCACTCTAAATAATGCAATCAACGAAACTTAAACTTTCAACCACTTAAGTGAGTATAACTCATCAAAACAACTGAAAGCTGTACTTGACATTTGCTAGGAGTCTACTACGTTTGGGCTTAGGGTTGGACGGGTGTTACTACGGTAAACCATCAGGTCTTTTGAGCTGAAGACAACACAACTGTCTGTTAAAGAGGAAAACAAACAATAAAGACTCAGGTGGAATTTGACTAGTTGGGTGAATTGTTTGGGAGTTACACTTTTAACAAGTTTTTTGTATGAATTCGGACTTAAATACTCGCAATATAAAGGAGAGGCATGATAAAGGTAGTAACTTGATAATAGTTATATTTAAATCATTAATAATTTTACCTTCGACCGTTTTTTTAAGTAGCCGTTTCAGTTCAGTTCTTAGAATTGAAAATATTCACATAACAGCATTTTTTTACTTACATAACAGCATAGTTTTATTTAACAACACGGGTAACGGACCAATGAGGTTCAAGGATTGAGAGAGAAGAAGTAAAAATGTAATGCTTCAAACTTCAGCTAATCAGCTGTTTACCAATTTAATTGTTAACAAATGGTGCAATTAATTAGTGATTGGTACAATGAGTCATCGGTTGCATCAATGTCAGTGGTAATGTGAGGTTATAAACGAAACATAACCTCTCTCAGATGTTTCGAGTAGTGATTATTAGTAATTTAAAACTGGTTGTAGGTAAAGTAGTGTACCCAACTCGCATACATAGTGTTAACGACACTACAACATTTTAACTTGCTGATTGAAAATTACATTACAGGGTTGTTGTTTACCAAGTCCTTTGCAGTGGCCGTTCTAGGACCTTGTCAAGGGAGGGATACCCAGTGCTTGGGGGTATGTAAGAAATGAGGGGGAAAAATTTGGTTTTTTTAAAGCTGTTTGGTGACTTTCTAAAGCTACTTTTAACACCTAATTAGTAATAATGTATAAAAAAATGTCTGTTTATATGACAAAGTTTGTGTTTAACTTTTTTCCAGGGTCCAAAAGCCCCCCCCCCCACCCGAGAACCGTCACTGTCCCTATGTATTATGTAGGCTCCAGTAAGTAAGCAGCCAGGATTGGTCGAGTCACGCCACAGATATGACATTATTTCATGGGGAGGGAGCAGCTATTAACATGGTTTCTGGACTTACCTATCTACTCAGAGATACACCGAATGAGGCTCCTCAGGACTTACTGGCATCATTTGTTGGTAAACAGAATTACACCATTTTCAGCCCTTTAGTATAAACTTTAGCGTAATCTTCAGTCAACTTACGATGAATGTCAGCATCGGATATATGTTTCTTGTAGTCAAAAATGTATTTCTGACTATATTTCACATGCGGGTAAAGATTCAATTGTATAAAATTGTAGTAAAACAATTTTACTACAGTGAAATGTCAGCTACAGAGCTGCAAATGGTGTCATTCTGTTGACAAAAGATGCCAGTAAGTGGCGAGGTACCTTATTGCAGTGTACTCTCAAACTACAGAGCTATACACAAAAATATCCCCCGTAAAATGAACGACCTGTAGATAAAAAAATTGTAAATATATCAATTGAGTGACTAATAAGATGAGGATGAAATAAACCAAGCTTATTTTGCTTATGTGCAATATTTGACTCCCTTTAAAAATATTCGCTGGTGCAGGGATTATCTGTTTGCTGTTAGCCACTCTGGAACCTTTGAACGTAATTCAAACATAAATTTTAAAAGTACTCCACTGAGGATCAATTTGTCAATGTTGTCAGGATCAATTTTACCACAGATATTTGTTCAACCAACCACATATTTTAAAACTCACGTGATTTTAACAACAGTTGCACATCAGCATTTCACAAGATGGACAAATTTGGAACATCATGACCTCAGCTACATACTGTAAATCACTAATCAGTAATTACTAAAAAAAAAAAAAAAAAACGGTAACAATATTCATTAAGTGTTTATTTGACCTATTATGTTTTAATTTTGATTTGAAGCCAAAACAGGAGAAGGAGGATATTCTACAAAGTACATGGTAAAATTCATGTCTTCTGGTGTGGCAACTTCCTGTTCTAAAACTGCATACTTTTGCCACTTAAAAAGTAGTCACTATTTTTACTACATATGGTAATTGGACTGTTTTCTCCTAAATGTATCAAAGGTGTAGGCTATTCTCAGAAGATCTAGACAAAGTATTTATGTTCTAGTTCATAAATTCTACAAAGGTTATTTTTACATCTTCAACTTTTTTTGTATTGATACCACCCATATGATCTGTGGACGGATTCAACATGGTTTATTATATATTTGAGTGTTTGCTCAAGTAACCAAACTCCACGGACTCCACTTGTCTTCGGCAATTTAATGTTACTGTTTTCCTAGAAGCGGAGCGGAATGCCATGTTAATTTCAATTCCGCTCCCCGCGTTCCTCTCTCCGCTCGCCGACTACGCACCTAGGAAAACCCAGCTTTAGAAAATGTGTAAAAAGTTAAACATTGTTGGATTTTTTAAATTTAATTTAATCTTTTATAAAACATTATCAATAGAATAGTTTGTATCGTATCTCAGTTGAAACAGCCACAATGGATGATATTTCAGGATGATGTATTGAAACCCTTAACACTTTCTTGATCAAAGCCTTTAAATGTAGTTCTAAATTATTTCATTTACAGTAGAACCTCATTAATCCGAACCTCCGTAATCCGAACGCCTTATTGTTGTACTCTATACACAGTACAGTTAGTAGTTCTTTATTGTATACTGTATTTAATATACAGTAATGTTTATTCACTATGTTTACTACTGTATTAAATAACCAATTTATTTTACTTTATAAAGCATTTTTTCACTTTTCCTGTAACAAATTACGATCCGTTTTAGCTATTATTATGTAAAACAACAATGTGTTCTGTAATCCAAACTATTCAATAGTCCAAACTACCCCCTATCCTAATTAGTTCGGATTAAAGAGGTTCTACTGTACAAGTACCGTTGGGATTACTTAAGGGGTGGGTTCAAAGAGTAGTAGTTTTTTTTTTTACTGTATGCTTTATCAAGTTTTATAGTTTGTAATAAAGTAAAAATCACAGCTCATATCAAGCGAATTCGTTTAACCACTAGGTTACTTTTAATCACAGTTGTGTTCTGAACTTATTACAGACTTGAGCGAGATTAAAACTTGCCAAACTTATTGGTCACCAAAAACTATCAACGTATATCATATTGGGTCGGTACAGTGGGTGTACCAAAGTAAGCAGTTTTGGAGGAACTCTACAGTCTTTCATGAATGTGAATTTTGTTCGTCTCACTGATCGAAAACATCTGTCCAATCTTACAGGTTTAGGTTTATTTAAAAAATCCCAGATTTCATAAGAAGTTATAAGTACATCTTCAAAGCTCCTCTTGGTACCTTTATATTTGCTTTCCAAAAGTAAAAGATGGTCATTGACCAGAGTCAGGGTTTTAAGACGATTTCTAGACGGGTGGAGTTTACTTGCAAATGACTCTTGGGTCAATATATCAAACACTCTCACTTCACTGTTCAAATCTATAAAAGCAAATTTAGATCCCGAAGAGGATATTTTTTCAGGATCATAAATATTGTAGGTACTTGTTTGTAGAAGGCACTTATTTGAGTGTAAATCATAAAAGTGAAACACACAATCTCTTTCTTGAGAACTAAGAAGCTCACAGAACACCAAAACTTCTCCTGCAACTGCGCTCCAAATTACCGGAGACATTGTTTTTACATAAAAATTAGAGTATTCGAACCTCTTCATGTCGAAAGCCCGTACTCTTGACTTCTTCACAGTTACAGAAGTCATAACATCATAAGTCTGAGTAATGATCAGGAAATCAGATATCCCGTGAGTCAAAGAAATGGTCCCGACAGTTTCAAAAGGACTTTCTTTTGATTCAAACACACAGTGATCATTGACTTTAACAGATTTCTCCATGTCCCACACATGAACCGACGGTGAGAACTGTTGAGACACATGGATGGCCATGTAAGTGACAGCGAACAGCAGGTTTTCTACGACTCGCACTTCACACACACTTCCTGATGGTAACTGAGGTAGTCTTTTGGGAACAAAGAACGGATGAGTATGCACGACCGAGAGAGTGCATAAGAAACTGATCTTGTAGTGGGGAGGGCTGAAGTCATAAACTGATATCAAATTGTTGACGATGAAAAGAAGTCTCTGACCACTTAGGTGAAGATTGAATCTCACAGCCTCGTTTTGCACAGCTTCTTCAATGAATTTAGAAATATCGTACATTTTCATACTCGTCTGTAAACAGGGAAAGTCTTTTAAACTCCACACCTGTAGTCTCAGCCCTTCTCTGGAGGTGCAACAAAGGAACATCCAGTGATTACCACGAGTATCAACGCCTTCTTTCATATACAGGCAAACATTGCCATGTATTTCTGCTTCTTCGGAAGAGAATCTGACTTTTTCCCAATTCTTCATGATGTAAGACTCCTTCAGGAAGTTGACTCTCCATTCGCAGAGAGGCTCGAGATCCACACCTTCTACGAAGGGAACCTGAAAGCTCGGTTTGACCGTGTTTGATTCATCCTTGTAGAACTCAGGGCCGAAGGAGCAATATCTTCTCCACACTCTGTCCAGGTTGAAAGCCCTTCGCCAGCTGCGATTGACCCCTGAGCAAGCTGCTATGTCCCTCGCCCCCAGCAGGTCTGCGATGGCAGCAACCATCTCTGAGGGTAGCTGACTTAGCTCCATCTACAAATAAGTACAGTAAACAAAGTAAGTTTGATCTGTACCAAGTGAATAGGTAAATAGTCAAACATTTATGAAAACCAAAATCGAGTAAATCTTTGTAGTACGTAATTAAAAATGCCCTTGCTTTTCCAAAAACACTGAAGAATTCATAATGAAAATATTAATCAACATTGTTCAGTGGAAGTAAATTGTGCATTTTCTGAATGGGAATATATAGTTTTGAGAATATTTTGTCGCACGTTTTTTTGGGCAACATTTTATATCTTTTTCAATCCCGTGTACCTTTTTTTTTGTTTGGATAACCTACAGCTTAAAATGAGCTCCAACCACAATACTTCCTATTAAATGGTCGCCGGTTCAACCCTGAGAGAAAGTCAGAACAAAAGTCACCTTCACCATTAAGGGGGCACTCCACCTAAAAAAATGTTCTGTTTGCAATAAATAAATTTATTTTTATATTTAAGATTCAAGTATGGTTAAAGATAATTTTATATGATGATCGCCTCCCCTCCCTTGGGGCGGGTTTTTTTTTCTAAAAACAGACGTTTACAGGAACAGATATATCTGGATATAGGTGTATGATAATTTAGTAATTATTTTTTTAAATGTAATGAGTACATGTACATCTACAAACTGTAATATGTGAATTGCCAAACAAAAAATATTTCTATAAAGAAATCTTATTGTAATTTTTTTTTCACAATTGTTTATTTGTCACAACATTTTTCCCCTGAACTTGTCTTATTCCATGCTACAGTTTGTATAATAAAATGTCCCCTTAAAAAAAAAAAAAATATATATATATATATATATTGTATTATGTATGGTATATCAGAACTTGAGATATGTCTTTTTCCGGACCTGAATACATAAAAAATCTAACTTTTGGCACTAGCCATGGAAACATATAATTATTACAAAGTTTAAAGGGGGAACTCCACCAAAATAAAATAATGATCTATTACATAATATTTAAAATGTTTTTATTGAATAAAAAAAAAATGTAATACAAAATTTAGCCATATCCCGCAGTGGGAGGGGGATCGTAAAAATGGGAATTCTTTAATGAGTGCTATTTAGTAAAAAAAAAATTATCTGTCATACATGTAAATGTCCAGGAAAAACTGTTGCACACCTTTGTGGTAAATAACTGAAATTTGATAAATTTTGTGGAATTCTTAGTTTTTTGGGTGAAGTTCCCCCTTAAATCTCCATTTTGTAATTAAACTAACCGTTAAGTGGTATAGTGTCCACCACCAAATTAGAATATTTAATCATCAGTAGTCCTAAACGTGATCAAAAACAGTTATTTAAAATATCACTACCTAAAGATTATATACTATTACTTTCTCCCCCTATACCATAGTATATGGAGAAAGTATTATTTTCGTCAAAATTTTTGAGTTTGAGTTTTGAGCGGATATATTCGTTCTGGATCCTCCTGGACCCAAAAAAGTGGTTTTTGAAGTGATGTCTGTGTGTGTGTGTCTGGATGTGTACAGAGCTAGAGACTACACCTCTGGTCCGATTTCGATGAAATTTGGTATGTAGGTTCTAATCCGTGGTATCTCCAGGCATTTTTTTGAAATTTTGATTTTTAATTGGGATTTTCCCATAAAAAAACCGTAAAAATCAGATTTTCTTAAAAATGGCCCGATAAATGTTAGTATGTTGTAGTTGTAGCCCTTTAAATTCTGAACAAAATGGTACAAATCCCATTTCTGTAAAAATTATGGTTTTAAAGTTATTGTAAATTATGATATTTTCCCATAAAATAACGAAAAATACGATTTTAGAAAAAAATCTGGTTTTAATTTAACATAGTATGATGTCGTACACATAGTATGATGTCATGGTCCTTACAATTTTGATAGTTTTTTTTTAATTTTTTAGAAATTTTGATTTTTAATGGGGATTTTCCCATAAAATAACGGAAAAATAGGATTTTCCCTAAAATGGCCTGAACGATTTTGATAAAAATTTATTATGTTATTTTCCTTAATATTCTGAACAAAATGGTACAAATCCCATTTTTGTAAATCTCATTTTTGTAAATATTATGGTTCAAAAGTTATTGTAAATGATGTTATTTTCCCATAAAAACGCAATAAAATAACGGAGAAATCGGATTTTCCCAAAAATAGCCAGAGCGATTTTGATAAAAATGTTTATGTTATAGTCTTTAAATTCTGAAGAAAATTGTACAAATCCCATTTCCGTATATTTACTCTCACCGCTTACACATGGTAAAGGTTGTTGACAAACTTATGGGAGAAAGTATGTGTCAGAATGCTGATCCCGTTTATTTTTACAATTGAACTCAAATGAATACCACTGTGTAAGCACAACTATAGTGCTCAATAATGTTATTAAAAGATGGTAGCCTTCTTTCTAAATCTTCAGAAATATATTTGAAATATTTATGGACTACCTGTACCTCTTCTTACTAAATATAGATTACATTATTTCTTCATAGGCCTATCTGTTTTAAATATACTATAATATGTATAAGGAATATATTATACCCCCAAATATATTATACAGGGTGAGTTTCTACTTAGCGTGTTAACTTCGCCAGTAGGTTCTACTCACTAAAAGGAACAAAAAAGGTCCTATAAACCCATGTCCGGTTTTCAACCGTTTGGCTGTAATAGGGGATTTTGTGTTTTTCTTATTTTATTAGACTTTGCTCCACAATTTATGTAATAAAAACTTAACCAATTACTTTAGAGAGTTATAGTTAAAATCATTGGAAAGAATATTAAATTTGCTATAAATCAAAGGTTTCATTCAAGAATTATGCCATTACATAGTCCACGTTATATCCAAAATAAAGTAAAAATGTCATTAAATTAATTAATTACGATAATTTTCATGAGCCCACTTTGATACATAAACCTTCATCTATGCAATGTTGAAATGCATAAAAAACTTGGCCATTTAATAATCTTTCAAATGATCTGCTATTCAATACTATTATTGATATAAACCACTGAGAAATTACTAATAAACTACAATAAAACACGGTTTACAGATTTTGTTTTTGCACAGTTTTACTGTTGATAATAATTACTGTATACTCCATGTTGTATTTTATTGAACAATCTGATAAGATTTGTACATTATTTTAACTTTTAAATATTTATTAAAATGATCTGAATTAATAAAATGTATAAACTCAAGGTTTTTCACATTTTCAAAGATAGTGTATTTGATTCTTAAATGCTGTAAATTAGTTTTACCTTGTGCTTTATTAAGTCAGCTTTTATTGATTTGTCATCTATAGCTAGATAACTCAGCTGCTTAAACATACCTTGTTGAGTAATTTGCTGTTTTAACTTTATATTTCCAAGTCAATTAAGAGTTTTTCAACATTTATTAAACTACTAGCTGTACCCGCGGGCTTCGCCCCGTTTAACTTCATAAGTATTCGCATGGCTCATTCACGTCCTGGTTGGAGCTCGTTTGCTGCGCTCACTTGCCTTCAGGTTAGCTCGTTCGCTACGCTAACTCGCTAACTACAGAGCCCGAAAGGGTTTTTGAGATAAGAATATGCTTTAATGTTAATCGGGAATGTGAGCTATCATCATGCCAAATTTCAGCCCAATCCGTCCAGTAGTTTATGCGTGATTGAGCAACACACACACACACACACACAAACATACACACAAACTCACAAACTTTCAGATTTATAATATTAGTAAGATGGAGTCTTTTACCAATCAAGAGTATGCTAACATGATGAATACAGTAATTATTATTAACAGTAAAAACTGTGTCAAAACAAAATCTGTAGACCGTGTTTTATTGTAGTTTATTAGTAATTTCTCAGTGGTTTATATCAATAATAGTATTGAATAGCATATCATTTGAAAGATTATTAAATGGCCAAGTTTTTTATGCATTTCAACATTGCATAGATGAAGGTTTATGTATCAAAGTGGGCTCATGAAAATTATCGTAATTAATTAATTTAATGACATTTTTACTTTATTTTGGATATAACGTGGACTATGTAATGGCATAATTCTTGAATGAAACCTTTGATTTATAGCAAATTTAATATTCTTTCCAATGATTTTAACTATAACTCTCTAAAGTAATTGGTTAAGTTTTTATTACATAAATTGTGGAGCAAAGTCTAATAAAATAAGAAAAACACAAAATCCCCTATTACAGCCAAACGGTTGAAAATCGGACATGGGTTTATATGAACTTTTTTGTTCCTTTTAGTGAGTAGAACCTACTGGAGAAGTTAACACGGTCAGTAGAAACTCACCCTGTATTAATATACATTATTAGGAATATATTATTTTCTGCAATATAGTATCCCTCCAGATCAATAGTAAAATCATATAAACAACTGAAATTGATTTTATACGTATAAGGTATTCCTATAATGGTAATTACACAGGATAACATGTTTGCACTAAAACAACTAAATTGAAATGAAAGGAGGGAAGAAACAAAAGAAAATGAGGGTCTTGGAGAGGGGGTTAGGTATTCCTCAGTCCAATGTTCCTAGCCCCCAAGGTTAGAGACCTTATTTGGAACTCATGGTCAACCAGTAAAACTGTTTTTTACCATTCTACCAATAATTTGTTTCTTTATAATTAGGTCTCAATTTCTTTCTTTTGTCAACTTATTGTTTTTGGCCTGTTTGGGTTGGATTTTTCTTCTTTGTGTTATGTTCAGCTTAAGTGTCCTAGGTTAGTTGGGATGGTAATAAAGGAAGCTCCTCAATAAGCTAATTGTTTACTAAACTCTTGAAAGTTCTGAACATATATGATTGAAACTATAGGGTTTGCGTTTTCAAAATGATTAGATGTTAGGGTTGTTTAAACTCCCACATGTTACATATTTTGTCATCGTATAGAATTTAGGAAGGAGTTTCCCAATTACAACTCACAAAAAAACTTATTGTAGACTAATAATGTTTACAAATACTGTTGGAGATTGGAAACAATGTTGAATCATAATGGTATAACTGATCAAGCTATACTAATTCTACTATACTAAACTAATACACTACTCTACAGATACCGGTAGTAGCAAGTGTCCCAAACAACATTTTTTTGTGAGGACCTTTTTTAAGGGTGATCAGAGGAGAAAACATATAAAGCAAAAGCATATACATTTTGGAAAGCTTTACACTGACTGAACTAAAGATTTAATATTTTATGTAGAAAACTTTAAACGGCCCAAACAGGTTGTTTGATTGTTAAATGGAGTCGCTGAGTGTGTAAAATGTATAGTATTTGTTTGATTGTTGTGAACTGCAAGGTATGAACGGTATTTTACTGGTATTCATGTTGTTTTAAAATAGGGATTTATAAAAACAAAAAATAAGTAAGAGCTTTAGTGGACTGTAAAATTGTGTATATTAAGAAAACAATGAATAGAACAGATCATTTCAAATACAAATGTCAACATAGAGGAAACAAGTAATTATGGAAGTATGGCAAAGAGTATAACACATGTAGTGAGAAGAGAGATGTCTACCATAGTCAAAAACCATACAAAACATTACTATCTCCAATAAGACTGCAAACATAATTGAAAATAGCTTGGTATTGTGCCATAGTCTACAACTTTTTTTACTGCGTAGAGTTTGATTTTTGAACTTCCAATATCTTAAAAATGGCCATGTGTATTAATATCCATTGACTAGGAATTCTAAATATCAAATATCTCAGTACCTATATACTTTTTTTGTCCTAGGACGCTGGCACGAGTCTTGGATTGTTTTTCACATTACTTCAGGCTAGATCTAGGGGTTGCGGCATTATCACTTATATAAAATCTATTGGTATCTTGGCGGGGCTCGAACCCGGGACCTCAGGGACTAAAGTTCCGTGCTCTAACCACTGCGCCAACTCACTCCCCATCTCAGTATATACTGTTGTAACTAAAATCTAATTACCTAATTCATTCATGAGACTCCAAGGAGTGTCAATTAAGTTGTTTTTCATAGGTAGCTATTTGTTTAAAACTTAAAAGGTGTTACATTAATCATAAAAGATTTTGTTAATGTTTGACCAACATCCCTTGCCCAGTACAAAATTTATAAGTCGACTACACTAATGTAGAATTTAAACTAAACAATATTCACAAACTAATGTCAATATTTTGTATAGGATAGAAAATAACGCACATATATAGAATATAAATAATATAAACGTTTAAAGATTTACATAGCCAATAATAGAAAAGTCTTAGCTTAAGACATCAAAGTAATGACAAAACTTACCACACAAAATTCAAATGTCGCTCAGGATGGTCCCTCGTGCCGGATGGCACTCGAAGCGCCTGAACGCGTCTGGGCTAAACCTCGCCTTCCCCCCTCTCCGGCTCTGGTAACCTTCAATTCAATGTCTTCCTGGTCAGCGATCGCGAGCCAGGACCTTATAGCCTTTCTGCGCACCTGCCGTTATATGTTTGTTCTCTAACGTACGGGTAGTTTATAATGGCGTACTACGATTTACGATAACCACTTTACCGGACATCATAATTCCAATTTGTTCAATAATAGATCGGTTCGAATGTGTATATTACAAATAAACTGCGAAAAGTCTTATCTTCGTCTGATGAACTCTCTTTTTCAAATAGTTATTGTCAATATTGTTTTCACTATAAGCTATAGTAAATAATTAATTGCCAGTATGGTAGGCATATAATAATAATATATGCTACCCAAAACGTTTTTGCAATGTTTATTTATCTCAGATCTCATGGATCAAACTGCCTTTACGGATTTTTGAATATCAAATTATATATTCTCTTCGATGAGAACTAAAAGACCTTAATCCACACACGACCCGTGTCTGTTCTTTTCTAACTAGCGTTTCGACTCAAAGCCATTATAAGCCCAAGGATTGATTAATGCATACAGTTTTTGTTTTGTTGTATCGTTAACATAAATGACTCGAGAATTCACTTTCTTACCAACCCGTCTGCCCTTATAGCATTATTTACTAAAGGTACAGTTAAAAATAATTTCTAAAGTTCCTTTCTCACCAGCAGCCTTCAAAAAATGCGCTCAACTACAAATCAAAAAAATCAAATCAAAATCTGCTTTATTTCCAAAAATTTTTTACAATATATACATGTACAAAATACGAACAATAGTCCCGCATAGGCCGTAAAAGACCTGTGCGCGGGACGAGCTCTATTACAAATTAGAAATATTCTTAAAAAATTAAAACTAAATTAATCAAAATACTATTTACAACTAAGCTATGAGACAGCTACAGGAACAGTTAATGCTAAATAAAATAAAAGGTAGTTGAGTGAATGGAGTTGCAGTTACTGATATATGTACGCTAAATATTGTTTGGTGTATTTGTGTATAATTATTGTTAGGTATTGTATACTGAACCGATAAGTGTCTCAGACTGATCGAGCCCAATCTCCGACAGCCAACTGCTTACCGAACGTTTATAAATTGGAAGAGATACCTGTAGATCTCTAATCTCTGATGGTATATTCCTATACAAAAAATTCGCAATATAAAAAGCATTAGTAAGGTTTGCTGACTTGAAAACTCGGGGTACCTGCATACCTACAAACAAACAAACGGACTGCGAAGATTGCGTATCGTGCGCCGTTGGGCCGTCTCTCCTAGCCTTCAGCATCAGACATTTTTAATGTTGGTGGTCAGGGTTAGAATAGAACAGGGCTTTAGAAGGGCTGATATTCAACTACGCCGATATTAAAAATCCGTTTTCCCCGAGATCTCCTTTCCCATCAAAGACAGTCGGCCAGAGGGTCCGGCTCAAAAGTCCATTACCCGTTTTGGTAAGGGTGTGAACTCAGGGTCCCCGGACTATTCACTTGGAGACAATAAAGATAAAATAGATGATTAAGATTAAGAGGGACAAAAGTTGACAACAGACTGCCTAGCGCTTTATCGGAAGTGCAATTAACCACCAAATGAACCTTTTACTACGAGTACAGAACATATTTTAATAGTACAGATTTAGTAAAAGAGTTGCACGTTACAATGAAGAGTGTCACATTTCTTTTGTGGCCCACTTACTAACTTTAGTCACAGTTCTACTGCCTTAGTTTTTTTGATAATACTGTGATTTACAGAAACCATTGGTAAAGGTGTTTACGCCACACTATATTATTTTAACGTACTTCCCACGCAAGCATTTAGTCCAGAAAACAGCTGTTTGCCGCCAGCTTATTCAAATGGGGTTTCATTGCGTACTACTGTACTGCAATGAGTTTTACCGGACACCAATCAGCTGATTATACTGTATTTAGGTGGCAATGAGTGGTTATAAACAAAAACATAACCTCTCTTAGAGGTTATGACTAGTGATGTTTAGACCTTTAGTTGGTGGAAATATATATGGATTTGTACAGATTTAGTAGTATGGTGTAAACTATCGTACGTAACTCGTACAAAATTTGTGTACCGGACTCGTATGGTAATCCCGTAGTCGACTTCGTCTCGCACGGGAACGACCACACTCGTCCGGTAAACACTTATTTTCAGGACTAGTAACGTAATATACTATTTCAGACCCCCAAGTAGTATGTTTAACAACACTGTTGAAATAAAAGTACCCACCACATAACTCTGTTTTTAAAACTTTTAATTTTAAAATTGCGTTTGTACGAATAATAAAACATATGACTTGTAAGCAAATAAACTAACAATGAGGACTAAATAGGCGGATTATTTAAATCATCAGTTTTACCAGTAGCACTTAATCTAAAAAAAAAATGTAAAAGTGGAAAGTTTTGATGCAAAATAAATGAAAAACAACTCACCGTTGCACTGTGGGAATAATTGTTAGTACACAAAGTGTGTGTGATGTGGCACTGACTTCCTAAAACAAATAGGCGTCGCTGACCGCGGTATTTCGAGATAACTCTTCGAGTCTTATTTACTTCATTGTTGTAGATGTCTCCGAATCGAATACTGGTGGTATTGGTGGTACGATGAAAATATTTCAAATGCTTGGAAAAACAATCTGCAAAAGTGTATTTAACATAATCTACATTACTTTTTTATATTTTGTTCAATTCACTCTTGCTGCAATAACTTTCATTGAAAGAAATCAAATAAATAATTATATATTGCAAAAAAATCTCATCTTACTCTTATATTAACTCATTAAACCCTTCTGTACAGTATTTAACTCAAATTACCTTCAGAAGTTTCCATCGTCAGATTATCAGACCAAATAGAACACAAATGATTCCACGGCTGTTGGCTGGGCTTGGCCTGATTGTTTGGCTTTTACTTGTTAATTAATTAGTTTGTGAAACGTTACCAATTATTCGAGTGATGCTACGAGCGCAGCGAGTCAAACTTTACCAATTTGTATTTTCGTTTCAGTGAAAGTGAACGTTGGATTTACCAGTTGTATAACGAAAAAGGTTGAATGTTCGTATGTACCTGGATGACAATTAAAAATATATTATTGTAAATTTAGTTCAATATGTGGGTATTCAACCTACAATTGATATTTAATTAAAAAAGTTGTTAGAGTTGCTTCAATTATTAAAAACTCGTGTTCATCACACTGCATCAAAAACAGCTGGTTTCCATCATGAATCTGCTGGAGTCGAACACATCGGCTGTACATTTTTATTAGTGTGAAATTCGGCTCCTGGATTTTCCGTAAAATTCTTCTCGATGAAAATATTTATTATTTTTATTAAAGTAAATATCGTGTGTGTTACCATCGTATTATATGTATGCTTCACTGTAATGAAGGCCTACTCCTATATACAAACTTAGACCAATTGAAATGTAATAGAATTTCAATAGTAAAATATAAATTTGTTACTGTAAGTAACCGTAACAGTTGTTCGTATGTACTGCAATTGCAAAACAAGACGAACCCCATTGTGGGAGCTAATTTATAAGGCCAAACAATGTAGGAAACATACATTTTTTATAATTTAGCCCGAAGAGTGGTGCGGTATGACGAAAATTAATGTAGTTCATCAGACCGGCAACAGTGTCTTTTTGACCCCTAGTGTCGCTTTTGTTCCGCGGTTGAAGGCTTATTTCTTCAGTCACTTTTTCGGGGGTCAGCAGGTAGATTTCGGGGACGGCCGGAATTTCTAATCAAACCTAACCTATGAAAAAAATAATTAGGGATAGAGCGAAAAAGAGGATTTGGGGGAGGGATAGTACAGACCCCTCTCTCACGGAACCAGAAATATATGTCCACGGAACAAAATTTCTGTTTCGGCCTGTCTTAAAGTCTACCTGCTGACCCCCGGAACAAAAGTGATGTGAAGAAATTAGCCTTAAACAGCGGAACAAAAGTGATGCAGCCTTCGACCCTGGCTCAAACTCGGACCGTAGTGTCGAAATATACTATTAAATGGATAGGGTCCTTAAAAGGGTTACGAGTATTATTCTATAGACGCACGCACTTTTTATTGTATACGAGTGGTACATTTTCCTGCTTGGTCTGGCGAGCGAATGGCTGCATCTTGGGGAGTTCGTCGCCGTGCCTACAGAATTGGGCTGTTGACGCTCGAACAGAGAGTAGAGAGAGAGGATTTCTGCTTTGACATTCGAGATGTTGGCCATTTGTTTGACCACATCAAAAGATTTAAGTAGATCGTAAGCATGTAGACCTGTCCCCAAATTACACCGTTTTGGCTACGACACCCACAATAAACGACCAAAAGAATTAAAAAAAGAAAGCCTCTATAAATCGTAATAACCTCAATGGATATATATATATATATAACATAATTAAACATACTAACTCAGCACCATAAATGATTTTTTTATTTATAAATGACATGTTTCGTGCTTAGGACAAGAGTATCACATTTAGGATGCTGAGTTAGTATGTTTAATTTAATATTTACGATAGTAGCACTTTATCTAGATATATCCATATTGTTCTTGAGGATTTCTTGAGAGAATCATAAAAAATGAAACATGAACTAGTGTAAATTTTCGCTTAATACAAACGTTTTCAAGCAGAGAGAAAATAATGAAATGTACAAATGAACAAAATAAATAAACAGGAACAGTTTACAAATAGTTTAATTTTGAGAGCATGTGATTGAGTACAGATCAAAGAAAAGAAAATAATCCTAAAAAAAGAAAATTAAAATCCAGCTGAGTTGAATCACTTTTTTACTATCTTAAATTTAAACCAGGGTGGAACTTTGTTTTAAGTATTAACTGGTGAGCCAATTCAGAATTTCTTAAGACCACTTGGTTGCATTTAGGGTATTGATGTGGGCTTACTTTGTAAGGGGATTTAAGGGTATAGCCGCCTTCAAAATGTTGGTTGTGGTAAGTGGCATGGTTATAGATTGGTTTTCTTTCGTACCACATCAATACGATG